CAGCGCCCACACACAGTGGCCACCAGAATGGCAAAACGCCCACACTAGGGGCCCCCAGCAACCTGTGAAACAGGCCACATAGGGCCCCCCCAAAACCCTGTGAACAGCGTCTACACAGTGGCCACCAGCAACCTGTGCAAGAGCGTCTACACTAGGGCACCAGAAACCCTGTGAACAGCGTCTCCTAGTGCCCCAGAAAAAATTGCAACAACGTCTACACTACAGGGGCCCCCCAGAAACCCTGTGCAAAAACGTTCCCTCAGTGGCCACCAGCAACCTGTAAACAGCGTCTACAAGGGGCCCCAGCAACCTGGCAACAGCGCCACACTAGTGGCCACCAGAAAACCCTGTGCAAAAAAGTTACATCAGTGGTCCCCAGAAACCTGTAAACAGCGTCCACACTAGTGGTCACAAAAAACCTGTGCAACAGCGTCCCCCTAAGTGGCCCCCAGCCCTGTGAAACGGCCACACTAGTGGTCACCACAACTGTGAAACACCCTTCCACACAATGCTGCAACAATAACAGGGCCTCACCGTTTCTTATTGATCTAAAAATTTCCTATAAAAACCTTTTAATAAGGGTTTTAATATTATAAATTATCAATTGCTAAAAATGCGCTTAACCGAAAGGGAATGAGGGGGTTATCTGGGTGAAGGTTGAAACTTTTGTATCAAACTGGGAAAAACATACTTGTGATAGTTTCTTTGGAGTTTAAAAAAAGTATAAAATTCGAAAGTTCATTATTTTGATGATAAAAATTAAAACTGTGGATATCTCTCTTAATTATCTATGTATTGTTCGGCTAATTTGTAAGAATAAACAACAGCTACTGTTTAACTTTTCGCCTCCCGGGTAGACTTATGTAAATACTGAGGGCACGAAGGTAACGAGATTTGACTTAAAAAATCGAATGCACGATTGCAAAAAAACCCTACCCGGCCGGGATTGAACCCGTGGTTATGGTTAAAACCCCAGTCCGTCTATGACCGCGGGTTAAACCCCGGCCCGGGGGGTTTGGTTTTGGGACTAAAAGGGAAACTCGAACGAGGTAAAACCAAAGTAACCAGTAGACGTTTGTAAATGGTGGTACAAAAAGTTATATTTTACAATCGACAAAAGCGCAAAAACCCAAGGCTTATATAGCATACTAAACTTTACAGAATGTAGTACTAAGTGTATTGGTAGAAATTTATAGAGTCTTTTCTTAGTTTTAGTATACTTTTTTTTTTTTACTACGATATTTTATATTCTTGTTTGTATTTTAACTGGTAAAATAATACCACCATTAATAGTATGCTACGAAAAAAATATTTTTTCGCTTTTTTTTTTTTTTTAAATATCTATATATACCGGTGTGGCCAGAAAATGTTTGTAAAATGATAAAGCCCCCTGTTCGGAAACGTTGCCAAATGTCACTTTAGTTGCACAAATTATTATTATTATAATCAAGGGGGAAGCGCTAAACCCGGAGGATTATACAGCGCCTGGGGGGGGACGATGTGGAAGGCATTCAGGCTTAATTCGGGGAACTGGAGCACAGATCCAATTCCCTAAATCAAGAGCCCCTCACCAACATCAAGGAACCTTCCTTGAGGGGAGTTGCACAAATAACTCGCACAGAATAAAAGGTCCTTACGACGACGTTTCGGTCCGATTGGGACCATTCACCAAGTCACACTTTGTAATTGGTCAAGTCGGACCAAAACGTCGTGCTAAGCTCCTCTCCTTATGTGCGGGTTGTGTATCGTTCCAGCCACGGTATTTTTTTTTTTTTTTTGTTATTCACTTTAGTTGCCCGTGTTCTTCTATCTAAGGCATTGTAATATTAATATTATTGTTTGCTAGAAATGGTGATGTAGGAGAAGTGTTTATGGACTATGATGGTCACTGAAGGTAGTCAATGTGATAACCTTGTGACTCTCACATGCCTTGAAATTAAATATACTCACCATTGTCGGCATTAAGAAAATATTCTGAAATGGTAGAGAATTTTTCTCTGATTGCAGTGACACCAAGAATATGAAATTCGATGGAAATTTTACGGAATTACGCATGCGCGAAGTTAGTGGTCTGTGGAATTTACGCATCGGCGATTTCGCCCACTTTAAGTCATATTTTAAGACAACTCCATTATTAAATTCTACTAAGTTCTTTGCTATTTCGCTAGTATACATTCCGTTCTATGGATTGAGCACAAAAAACTAACAATTCAACTATAAGAACAACCCTATAAAATGAGAAGTCGGTAATTTGCCCAATTTTACAAATTCAAGAAAATTAATTTAAAAAAATAGTACAAAATAATCACTGTAGATACTACAGGCACTAAACCACTTCCTCTGCTTATTGATCACCTCAAGCCTCTCGTACAATACACTTTCCTTCCATTTTGTGTTCGCTACAAAAAAGTACCAAATCTCTTGATAAAAAAATATAACCAGGAATGATCGGTCATTTATTATGACGTCTAAATAATTGAATCAAACTTATAAAAAATGAGACCGGGGGTGTAGGGGCCTCACCCATTCTCAGGAAAATACAAAATCAAATGTCTGCTATTTTGAACCTGATTTCCTACTTCCGGTCCTAAAACCAACCAAAATTATATCTTCTTTTAGTAATATATCTTACATTCTATCAAATGATACCAACAGCCAATAAAACCATAAAAACAGAGCACAAGGTCAGTTTTTTACTCTTCCCATTACATACACCGCGTGGGGCAGGATTTTATACTGCAGTAGCCGCACACATTCACTCATACCAAAGACCCAAGACCCAAGACCAAAGTTTACCTCAGCTTATATGAGGGAGTTTATCTTAAAACTTCAATGCATAGCAACCCTGACATCAGTAGATCTTCAAGATAAGACTGAGGGTTTAGACAGGGTCGGCAGACTACAGCCCATCAAACTAGGTATGGTTGCCACCTAATTACACTACAATACATACTTGCATCATGGTAATATACAGTAGATCGTCGATGAAGACGGTAGTTAGGTTCCTGAAAATGCAGCGTTTGACAAATCAGTGTAAAAGGAACTGAAGAACTTCTGGGAAAAATAGGGTTATTCTCCTGGGACGCCCCCCCCCCCCCAGCACCTTTTTTTTTAAAGGTCTCCAAATCTTACACAAATAACAATGATAATGTAATTGTTCATTGCTATGTATGCTTTTTCTGTTGTTCAAGGCTACAAATGCAACAGAAATATTTCTTACATTAAATTGTGGTTGCTGGAGTTTCTTGATGATTGTGACGGAGTGGAGAGGTATGCTGAGGCCCATCTGGGCTGAGGTGGATGGTAGTCCAATCAGTCGGTTCAGTCAAGCGAGTCAATAGGTTGGTCAATCAAGTCAGTAGTCACTCAATTCAATATGTCAGTAAAGGCATTCAGAAAATAAAGTCAGTAAATCAAATGACAGCCCAGGTTATTCATTGAACAAGACTATTTGCTTCACTCTTTTTAATCTTACGAACCAATGCTTCAAAACGGCCATAAGCTCTCGCCATGTCCACCACATTTAAGCCTGTCTAATATCTCGATTTTCTTCATAATTCCAAGACTTAAAGTTCTTTTTACTTTGTCTTGCCACTTCCTGCATTACTTGCATACCTCCTGGGTGTCATGGTTACCTGCCAGATGCAATGTATGATAGTGATAAGACCGAAACCCAATTCACAAACAATGCTGGGTACTCCACTGAATGCACCGAGCACTGGTAGAGGTGGTACGGTAGGAAACTAAGGCCTCTCCCCGTAAAAGACAATGGCATGACCCACAGGCAAACTGCCTAGCGCTCACTACACATAGGGAAAGATCCCCGCCGTCAAGCTTGCAGTGCTGAAATTTTTTCCCCACCAAGAAGCAGAACCGTTTAATTTGAATTTTACATATTGTAAAATTAAAATATGCCACAATTTGACAATAATGTAATGGAGAAACCATTTTAATCAACACTCTACTGTATTTGAAATGTCTTTTGTATACCTATCCTTAATTTTATCAATCTTGGCCCCCACTTGAATTATTCACATTCTGGCCGGTCTACAAAAACTTCCAACCCCTGGGATTAAGGCACAGTGACAAGATGTTTTTAATGTGAATGCAAGGCATTCTGGTTCAATTTGAGGGGATTATTATTATTATTATAATCAAAAAGAAGCGCTAAGCCACAAGGACTCCAATTTGAGGGGAGGGTCAGTCAGTTCCTTAGATCAAGACCAATTGAAAGCAGAAGCAATGAGAGGAGCATGTGGTAGCTTGTCATGGATCATTTAAAATGGGCTTGAAGCATACTTTGTTTCCTTTATAATCAAGGAGATGCACAGTCTCTCTAAGGTTGCAGTGACTTGGGAATGAGAGCCAATCAGATCTTATTCATATAAATGATAGGGTTAATGCCAGTTCCTTGGATCAAGACCTTCAGCAGCAACAGCACTACCAACAAACTATGAAGTCAATTTATTTTCATGCAGTAAACCCATTAGGTAACACAGCACATACCTGGGGCTAGGAGACAATTATGCTTGATCCAAAGGTGAGAGATCAAATCACCTCCTTAGAGCACTTGCAGTCATGGGGACAGGATGTGCTAAACCCGTTGGGGTAATATAGCACCTGGGAAATGGGGCATTCAGGTTCAATCCAAGGAAGAGCACAAGTACAATTCCTTGCATCAAGTGTCACCAGTATTAAGGTACCTCCCTGAGAGGAACATCGGATCGAAGCATTGATCCTGCCAGAGCAATATACATACAATCACGAACGACTGAGTAAATTATTTATTATCAAAAAGAAGCGCTAAGCCACAAGGGCTATACAGCGCTGCAGGGGAGTAAATAAATAGAAGGATGAAAAGGAGGCTCAAACTGTGGTCCATAAAGGCACAGTGTTTACACTTGGGCAGTACTAAGCTGTGTGTACAAGCTTCCAGAAATCTGAAGCACTAAAATCCTTAAAATTGTCTTATAGCACTTAAGAAATAAAACATTAACAAATTTATTTTTTTCTTTATTGGTAAATTTATGCAATTGAACCAGCATTTGAAGCAATCCTGGGCCACAAGTCAGCACACTCCTTAGCCACTGGGCCAGTGATGGCTGAGCCTGTGGGCAAAAAACAGCTATGATAAAAAATCCCTAATTTATTTATAAATTTTACATGATTTATATATTATTCCAAGGTTTCATGAAGGTTTCCAAGGTTTCATGAAGTTAATCACAAGTTTTTTGGTAGTTTCAATGAATTGGAGAGAAAATATGACAATCAACAGGTTGAAAATTTGCTACATAATTATTATATGCTGTGCAAGACACTTGAGTCTGGTGTTACACATTAAATAAATCAAAACTATTACCTTTCATTTCTCCTTTATTGTTAACTATGACCCCAGCATTATCTTCAAAGTAGATGAACACCCCGTCCTTCCTACGGTAAGGCTTCCTCTGCCTCACAACTACGGCAGGATGCACTGAAAAAAATTTTGATGATAAACACAAGCATTAATAAAATACAGACAACCCTCCAATTAACAAACAAATGAGGGAGGGGGTAGCTGAAAGTACTGTACAACTGTACTACACATGTACAGCAGTATTCAAAATTTACAGTAATTTACAGAGATAAGGTGTAATCTGTCATACCCATACCACCAAGATGCTAGACTCAACTTTCCTTGAGTTACTTTACTTAATGTTAGTCACACAAAACAATGCAAATCCAGGGAAAATTGGAGTGTGAATGACAAATGTACGTGTGAACTAGCACAGAAACTGACATGGGCAGCCTATGGCTGGAGAACAATGAAGACGAGTCTCTAATGAGCATACACTGGCTCATATGTACCAACATTGGCATCATCAGAGTTGGTCCATTGAGACCGAAGACTATCGGGCACTATCACTATGGACAAAATCTGGAATCTACATTATAATAAAATAGAAGTGCTAAACCTACAAGGGCCATACAGTGCAACAGGGAAGGGAAGGGTGCAGGGGTATTGGGTAGCAAGAGGGAGAGGGATTATTATTAGGTCAAGGTGCAGTGGGGCAGTAGATAGTGCAAGGGTAGAGGGTAGCAAGGGGTTGAGGGAGAAAGGGCTGTGAGGAGTACTAGAGGCATCATCATCAGAGTTTGTGCAGTAAATCAGTTTCTGTCAAAAAGTCAGTGAAAGAGTCTGGGTTAAAGGAGGATCCATCACCAAGAAGGGAAGGTAAAGTAATGGTACCAGAGCAGTGACTCATTGATAGAGGCAGTCCAACAAAATATGGCTAACAGAAACTGGAACCTGAAAATTCTCAGTGGAACAGGGTGCCTCTCCATGACATACCCATGAATAAGACGAGAGTGGCTGATGTGAAGATGGGAGAGAATAGTCTCCCAACCTTGACATTGATGAAAAGATAACAGCCAGAAACCTATTGTGGTACCTTGACTTACGAGTTTTCAGAGTTACGAGCCGTTGCTCAGTTGATTTTTTGCTTTGAGTTGCGAGCCAAAATCCGGGCTACGAGTGAGTTTCAGATACGCCACCATTAGGTGGCGCAGCGAATGCCACAACATCCACCCAGCATCCCATGTCTCGCTTGTTCAGTACAAGTGGCCACCTCGCCGTGGAAGCATCTCTCGTGTTGTGCTTGCATTTTGTGCAGTTATTTTGGCAAAAAACAAATAAAAAAATTACTGAAAATGACATTTTGCAAGAACCCCAGCCTAAAAGGCACAACAAAAGTTGGGACTTGATACTTATAAAACAATGCTAGTGTGATGTTCTCACTGGAGGTAATCGTGTAATTATCTTCAGCTATTCTATGAAAAAATAAAGTTGCCAAGTTTTTGACATTTGCAAAAATATCTTGTCCTTTACTCCCACACAAATCCCAAATTATTTGGAATATTTCCAATATTCCACAAGCCAATTATAGAACAGTCAATTTTTTTATGATTCCTGTCAATATTATTGCATTTACTTCAATAGTAAATGGTGGGCTTCATGAAATAAGTCAATAACTTACTTCAGAGATATTCAGAGAAAATTGCTTTTGTGTCAGCCTTTTCCTTGTGAAACTAGTAATCTAGTGCAGTTAGCCTCTCAAAAACTATTTTCTCTTACCCAGGACCAAAGAACACATTATAGGAAGGAGCAGTAATAATTTTATATGATAAATTAGACACATGTGCAACTCTTGGGTATCTTTATTGAGGAAACGTTTCGCCACACAGTGGCTTCATCAGTCCATACAAAGGAGAAACTTGAAGAACAGGAGGAGAATGAGGTAATCAGTCCCTCAACCTTGAGTCGATGTGGTCAGTCCATCAATCTTGAATAGAATACGGCATATGAGCGGAGAAGCAGCTTATAAACCGTAGGCAGGAGAGGTGCAGCAGTTGTAGATGGTGTCACATTTGTTCAATGTGGAAGTAGGTCGTGCACAAGGGTTAGGCAAGCGAAGAATTCCCAAGTATTAAGATCCCAAGAAGTTGCAGTGTCTGACAGGTTTATAAGCTCCTTCTCTGCTCATATGCCATATTCTATTCAAGATTGATGGACTGACCACATCGACTCAAGGTTGAGGGACTGATTACCTCATTCTCCTCCTGTTCCTCAAGATTCTCCTTTGTATGGACTGATGAAGCCACTGTGGCGCGAAACGTTTCTTCAATAAAGATACCCAAGAGTTGCACATGTGTCTAATTTATCAACGTGTGGGTTCTGTGAACCATTCATCTAAAATAATTTTATATGCTCGGACTGGTCCTGGACACTTGCCATATTATGACCTATTTTATTCATTCTAGAGTATATATCATGTTTCTATGTTACTTAGTGTTTATTATGTCATATTAGATCAATTCTGATAGATAAATAAGCCATAGAATATATTGGCGCTATATAGTGGACCCCCGCCTTACGATATTAATCCGTTCGTGAGAGCTCATTGTAAGCCAAAATTATTGTCAGCCGAATTAATTTTCCCCATAAGAAATAGTGTTAATCAAATTAATCCATTCCTGACACCAAAAAGTATGAAAAAAAAAATTTTTTTACCACATGAAATATTAATTTTAATATACACAAACTGAAGAAGACATGCACTATTACTACTCTACTAAGAATAGAATACATGACACTTACCTTTATTGAAGATCTGGTGGTGATTGATGGGATGGGAGGAGGGGAGTGTGTGGAAGTTATTGTTTAGAAGGGGAATCCCCTTCCATAAGGACTTGAGGTAGCAAGTCCTTTTCTGGGGTTACTTCCCTTCTTTTAATGCCACTAGGACCAGCTTGAGTCACTGGACCTCTGTCGCACAACAAATCTGTCCATAGAACTCTGTACCTCCCATTCCTTTAAGACTTTCCTAAAATGGGCCATAACATTGTCATTGTACAGGTTGCCAACACAGCTTGCAGTAGCTGTGTCAAGGTGATTTTCATCCGTAAAGGTTTGCAGTTCAACCCACTTTGCACACATTTCCTTAATCTCTCTTTTCAATTCCATACTAATTCTCGCCCTTTTTACCACAGGGATGGCACTAGAAGCTTTCTTGGGGTCCATGGTGACTTATTTTGTAGTTACAAGCACTAAAAACACTGGGATAATGTGAAATGTACCGAGTCTATGCGTAGATGCAACCGCACTGGCTGGCTTGTAAACACTAGCGCTGAGGCCACATGTGGGACACGTCCCAGACGAATCATGTAAGGCGAGTTTTTTATCGTGAGGCGAGGCAAAATTTTTGCACTCAAATGCTTCGTATGGCGGATTTAACGTAACGCAACGCGTTCGTAAGGCGGGGGTCCACTGTGCTGAAGTATCTTCTGCCTCTGGGGTGGTTTTTGGGGGGCTGGAATGGATTAATGGCATTTCAATTAATTTTAATTAGGAAAATTGATTTGATATACAGTAGGGCCCCGCTTTACGGCGTTCTGCTAATACGGTCATTTCAAATTATGACCAAAACTCGCTATACGGCTCCCCCACCTGACTTTCTAATACAGTCACCACGCCCCACCCGGTTTGTTTACATTCTGTGAGAACCATAAGCACTAAGTCTCCATTATGTCTGGAAACTCCAAAATTTCAAGTGTTTTTAAAAGTTATTTCATATTTTATATATACTCTGATAATTTTACTTATGTATACCTGTACTTAAATAAACTTACACACTGTGCTGGCATGCAGGTACACATTAAAATCAATAAGTCTCTCTTATATCTCAAGACATTAGAGTATTAATGATAGTAATAATCACCTAGTCTCATTTAAATGTCGTATATTACGTTAATATACACATTTTCATTAATCCATCTATGATATTTTTTCAAAATTATATAATAAACACGATACATAACATATAAAGATGATAAATACACCCCACAATAGGATAAACAAATATGAGATGTGGTAGCCAGATAACTTGTACAAGTAATGGCACAGTGGTGCCTGTGCTAAACTTCCTATGGTGTAGAAATATACCTAGTTGGACGAATCTTATTGTGGCTAGCTGGTCTAGTGGCTAACGCGACGGGCTGGAGTTTTGAGACTCTCTGACCGCGGGTTCAATCCCGGCCGGGGTATGGTTTGTTTGCAATCGTGTCATTACGATTTCGTGAGTCATGTTGACGGCAGTGAAGGGACTTGAGATAGAGTTCATCACGGCCACGCTAGCTGGAGATTCCTTTCATATGTATGCAAGTTTATTCAGGTATACACAAATACAGTTACAAAGATTATCATACATAACAGCATGTGTGTAGAGAACCTAGGATAACCCAAAAAAGTCGGAGTGACTTATTTCCATTGCCTCCACTCTGAGCGTCATTTCTCCTAAAAATGGTGTTACACGAGAATGGGAGTGTTCTTCTTTATTTATTCTCCTGTATCAATGTAGAGACAACTTGTACACAAACCAGACGTGTACACTTCGTTTGTTTACAAAACTTGTGTTCACCTGCTTTTTTGCATAACTCTGTGCCTGTCCTCCCTCATGTACTCGTTCTCTCTCTCTTTCTCTCTCATTTATTCGTTTTATCTCCTTTACTCACTCCTGACCCTACATTAAGACTACAAATATTTTACGGTAAGTAATGAGTGAACTGTATATGCATTTTATCACTCTGGGATGCTTAAATGTAATAGAATATTATGTGTAGGTGGGGTGGTGTGGTATGGTAGCCTGGCTGACTATCATACATACCACACTTGATTTCTTACAATAAACACTACTTGTCTCACCCTAGATTAAGACTATAAATATTTTAACCCTTTCAGGGTGCACAGGCCCTCTCAGACTTGTTCTCAGGGTCCCCCAAATTTATCTCTCTCTATCTATGTCTACCTATCTATGTCTATATCTATCTATCTGTCTCTACATGTCTATCTCTACATATCTCTATCTCTCTCTCTCTCTTATATATATATATAATATATATATATATATATATATATATATATATATATATATATAT